TTTCATCAAGTTTTAAATCCTTTCGTTGCTCTTTTCGCTGCGATTGTCATAAATTCGTCGTCCTCTTTTCAAGCCTTAGCTCGCTTTTATTTTGAAATATGAGTCTTGTGATCAGAGATGAATCTGTGCTGCATGATGTGCGTAACATCAGAGCGATAAAAGCCAGCTTTGCCTTTCAGTGATTCGCAGTAAGGACATAAATGACCTAAACTGAGACTGAAAAAAGTGCAGTCAGTTAAATGTTAGCTCACCTAACATGTAGCAGTGTTTACATGTAGCCATGTTTGACAGACTCCAGGGCTTTGATACCATAAGATGCCTCATATCCTCACAGACTCATGAGATCACACAGGTGGTCTGACCTGCTCGTGTCACACTGTGCTGTCTGTCTGTCTGTCCGTTGTTTTTCTCCTGCAGTGATGTTATGTAGCAGAAAAACAGTTGGATGCTGGAAAAGTGCAGAGCGATGGGTGACGTGTGGAGAACATCACAGTCTGTGTGTGTTCAACAGCTGTTAGAGCCACACTTTGTCCTTTCTGTGGTATAACTGCTGGATTTATTTTATTCCAACACTTAGAAACTGTCAGCAAAGCAAAACTTCATGATTGGATGATCCTGTGTCACGTCCACAGTGTCAAACGTGCACAGAGACAGTGACACCCACAGAGAAACCCTCAGCTTGGTGTCCATTGCAAATCTGCACCTGTTGTCTTCTTTCTACTTTCTTTGTTGAACTCAGAAACTCGAGACTTGAGATGAAGAAAAATGTTAAATAATGGAATAAAAAAAAGATGATTATTAAAAAAGTAAAGTAAAATTATATAAATAAATGAGGTGATGATATTTCTGTTTACTTTAGAAGTTATTATACACTGTATGCTGTGATTCTGATCTGGGAAACATTAAAGACATTCATAGCCAGACTGCTGACTTTGTGTTTTTATTCAGTCGCCTAACAGAAGTGCAGTAAGAAACGATTTACCCCATCCTGATTTCTTAGCTGTTTGCATATTTGCCACACTTACGTGTTTCAGATCGTGAAGCAAATTTTTATGATAGATAAAGATGACCAGAGTCAGTGTAAAATAAAGCTTTTACATGTATTGCTGGGAGGTCGGCAGCTCCCTCCACTGCTTGGCCCTCTGTGAAAAACAACTGGGATCCAGCTTCCCTGTGATGCTGAATTATATAAGCGGAAGAAAATAAATAGATAGAAGGATGGATGATTGTATTTTGTGTACAATCGTTGAAGTGTAAAAAGGGTTGGCCCTCCGTGGTGCCCTAAGCAAAGTTTGATTTTTGGGGCCCTTTAATAGTGCCAATAATACTGATTAATGATCACCTACTATAAATGTATTTCATTTTCTAATGTTGATGTTGTTGTGAAAAATGTCATAAAAACAGATAACAAATTTGCAACTTTCATGAAAAATGTTTTCATTAATATTTTAAAAAACCAGCAAAACACCTCCCCCTGCTGGCCACACAGAGAAACAATAGATAAAACCTGAGAGCTGCACAGTTGCAGCAGTGTGGTTTACGTCATTGTGTTGTCAGCCTGTTTTACACATCGGTGGTTTCTTATTGACGTGTAAAAAGATCTGAAATCGTAGTAAATTCAGCTGCTATTGTGGGCTGGGGATGATTTACACTTAACATTTTAATAACTGGGTACTGAATGTCATAGGCCCAATGTTCCCTCTAATTTTTCACGTGTCTGAGCGAACACACAAACTCCCTGAGCGATCCCTTGGACCACTGAGCGACATCAGACGTGTGCACTGTGGTCACGCCGGCATCGAATCCATCCAAGTTTCATGGTTTATTAAAAGAATCAAATTACAGCATTTACATTTATGTTAGACTACTTTTAATTAACTGCTTTAGCCCATTTACCATGAAAATGTAAAAACAAAAACGCGTCACATAAGGACGCTGTCATAGCCTGTCAACCACGTTGATTAGCTGCGCATATACGCATTATTGGCTGGACTATGGGATAAGGTGGCATCGTTCCCATATGGGAGCAACCAGTCACTTACTGACCAACACTGCAAAACAGAATTGTTAAAGTATTAATTTTAATTTCAATTCAGGTTAGATCTTTTTTTGTGCACAAAGCAGAATTTCTGTGCGCAGAGACTGTGCCAGCAGTGCGCAATTGCGCACGTGCGCAGCTTAGAGGGAACATTGCATAGGCCCACTAAAAGTTACAAAATAAGCTACTATCAAATACATTTACTGTAAACACATCAGAAGGTTCTTTATGTGGCAAAAAGTTAGATCTATACAAAATGTTGCAGGGAAACAGAGAAGGAGCTCGTATAGGTTTGAGTTTTATTCACATCTGTTGTGCAGGTACAAATAGCAGAGTGGAAAACTTTATACTTTGTGTTTGCAAACATTAATTTATGAAGATTAATTAACATGAGTGTAGCACAAAGTAAAGGTGAAGCAGTATTCTGACATGACAGTGCAATCAAAACACATTTTGCCACAACAATCTGTGAATAACTGTGACAAACAACTGTCATTTTAATATTGGACAGACTAGTTGTGCAGCCCTAACCTGAAATATGCTGTTTGTTCTGAATGAAAAACGTTAGTCTTTGGTAAACATTTTAATCGCATTTATAGATGCAATATGTTATTTCAGTTAAGACTGAATGTTACCACACGTTCCCATCATTAGAGCGCATTTAAAGTGTGGAGAAGTCTGTGAATGTTCTCAGTCATCCAGGTCATCGTAGTCTAAGGAGCTTGGAAAGAAAAGCGTCTGGACTTCTTTGAGTTACTTGAAGACGTTTCACCTCTCATCCGAGAAGCTTCTTCAGTTCTAAGGGTCAAATGGTGGAGAGTCCAAGCTGTATTGAAGAATTTCTAACTTCATGTAGGCTAAACAGCGGCCTAGAATTAGACTCAAAACCCTGCAGTGCCCAAAATAAAGGGGGCATTAATGTGCCAGATTCTACAGAACACCAGAAATAACTGCTAAGATGGGTCCAACACATCTGAGTTCATGCTGGAGGAACTGTGGGACACACTCTGCCAACCACACTCATATATTGTGGCTCTGCCCTAAACTCTGTGTATTCTGGAGGCAGATATTTGATGCTCTCAAAGACATTTTCCAAGGTAAATATTCCACTAAGTCCTACAGCAGCAGTGTTGGGAAGGATTGCAGAACATATTGACTGCAAAGCCAAAAGTTACCTGCTAAATATATGACTCACTGCAGCCCTAAAATGCATAACTATCAGATGGTTAAAACCAGATATAATCTATGGATCCATGTCTGTCTGATGGAACAAATTACATACTCAGACTACAGAAACAAGTCTTTGAGAAACGGTGGGGACCCATGTTACCTTTCCTATTACAATGAAGAACACCACCTAGTTTTGTGAGCTCTCTCTCTCTCCACACACACACACACACACACACACACACACACACACACACACACACACACACACACACACACACACACACACACACACAGCATGTTATGGCAGCATATTCCGGGTTTTTAGTTCACCATTTATGAGGTTTCAAGAAGAAAATAAAAGACAGATCTGAATGTTTGAAAATGTTTTGGAAAGATTCTGTAAAGATGAGATGAAAAATATTCAAAGGATAAATTTAATTGGTTTATTATTTAGATAAGAATAACAAGCAAGTAAAGGAAGAAACAAGGTAAAATGAAGTAATAATGAAAAAGTTTAACAAGTAAAAGAAGAAACAAGGTAAAATGAAGTAATAATGAAAAAGTTTAACAAGTAAAAGAAGAAACAAGGTAAAATGAAGTAATAATGAAAAAGTTGAACAAGTAAAAGAAGAAACAAGGTAAAATGAAGTAATAATGAAAGAAGTTGAACAAGTAAATGAAGAAACAAGTTAAAATGAAGTAATAATGAAAGAAGTTGAACAAGTAAATGAAGAAACAAGGTAAAATGAAGTAATAATGAAAAAGTTAAACAAGTAAATGAAGAAACAAGTTAAAATGAAGTAATAATGAAAGAGTTAAACAAGTAAATGAAGAAACAAGTTAAAATGAAGTAATAATGAAAGAAGTTGAACAAGTAAATGAAGAAACAAGTTAAAATGAAGTAATAATGAAAGAAGTTGAACAAGTAAATGAAGAAACAAGGTAAAATGAAGTAATAATGAAAGGAGTTGAACAAGTAAAAGAAGAAACAAGGTAAAATGAAGTAATAATGAAAGAAGTTAAACAAGTAAAAGAAGAAACAAGGTAAAATGAAGTAATAATGAAAGAAGTTGAACAAGTAAATGAAGAAACAAGGTAAAATGAAGTAATAATGAAAGAAGTTAAACAAGTAAATGAAGAAACAAGGTAAAATGAAGTAATAATGAAAGAAGTTAAACAAGTAAATGAAGAAACAAGGTAAAATGAAGTAATAATGAAAGAAGTTAAACAAGTAAATGAAGAAACAAGGTAAAATGAAGTAATAATGAAAGAAGTTAAACAAGTAAATGAAGAAACAAGGTAAAATGAAGTAATAATGAAAGAAGTTAAACAAGTAAATGAAGAAACAGGTAAAATGAAGTAATAATGAAAGAAGTTAAACAAGTAAATGAAGAAACAAGGTAAAATGAAGTAATAATGAAAGGAGTTGAACAAGTAAATGAAGAAACAAGGTAAAATGAAGTAATAATGAAAGAAGTTAAACAAGTAAAAGAAGAAAAAAGGCAGAGGAGAGAAAACCCCAACAATCCCCTCTGAGCAAGCACTTGGCGACAGTGGGGAGGAAAAACTGCCTTTAAACGGGCAGAAACCTCCGGCAGAACCAGGCTCAGGAGGGGACAGTCAACTGCCGGGACTGGCTGGGGGGGGGGGGGGGGGGGGGTTAACAGAGGTGGAGCAAGACGAGGCTACATCAGGTGAGGAAGCAGTAGCGTCTCTCTGGAACAAGTGGAACCATTTTTTCTTTTTTTCATGCACTTTTCCACGAGCGCTTTTTTCTGCAGGATGAGATTTCTCAGCTCATCGATGGTTTCTGCGTTTTTTTTTCTTCAAGTTTCTCACATCTTTGTTCCATCTCTTCAAATGTTGCTTCTAGTTCTTCAAGCTTGTCTTTGAGTTGTTTGGATGTTTCCTCCTGTATCAGCTTGTCCTTGTGCATGTCTGCATTTCTCTGTTGGACCTCTTTGTGCTTGTCTTCTAACTGCTTCTTTCTTTTCTTGATTTCTTGATTTTTGTCTTCATGTATTTTGTCTTCTTGTTGTTTTTGTGACTGCATTTGAGTGTGTTCACGCTTCAAGTTATTGAATTCCACCAAACGCCCCTTAACGAGCTCGGAGTTGTTTCTCGCTATCTGATCGATCCTTTTCTGCATCTGTGAGCACCGTTTCTCCAGTTTGTCCCTTTCTTCTTCCACTTTAGTTGCTTTGTCCACCAGCTGATTACAAAACTCTTGCAGTTTTAGATTTTTAGACTGAAAGTCCTGGACGATGCGTTTTCCTTCTTTCAGTCTTTTTTGTTGTTGCTCTTTCTGTTGAAGAAGGTCTTTATTTTGGCGCAGTGTTTCATCCAGGCTTTCTTTCAGCATGCGGTATTTTTCCTGCATGCTCTTCAGTTTGTGCTGCATGTCTTGTTGCTTTTTGTCCTGCTCTTCCTTCTGTTGGAGGAATTTATTCTTTTCTTCCACAGCTTCATGGAGCTGTCTTTGGAGGAGCCGATTTTTTCGGTCCATGTGGTGGAGATCCCGTTGTATCTTATCAGTCATCGTTTTCTTGTCTTGGAGCTGGTTGGTCATTTCTTTTAGTTCTGCACTCTTTTGCCTGTTTTCTTTAATGAGGTGCACAATCTGCTCTCGGGCCTGAGCAAACTTGATTCCCCAGCCCTCATTAATAATGTTTATGTCCGGCTGGCGCTGTTGTCTTTCTTCCAGCTCTTTATTTTGGGCTTCCATTCGTCTACACTTGTCCTCCAGTTGACGTTTTTCTTCTTCAATTTGTTGCATTTTTTTCTGGAGAAGGTAGTTTTCCTTCCTACTCTCCTCTAATGCCCTTTGGAAGGATGAGATGCCATTTGGGGAAATTGGCTGGCCACGCCAGGAAGGAGAGGCGGCGTAATCTTTTTGAATTGGTTGTTTTTTTCTTGGAAACATGTTGGAGTTTCTATACGATGACTTTGAAGAGCTTTCCAAATGTTTCTGTGGTGAACGTTTTGTATGCTGCAAACACAGATGCTGCTGAAACGAACTAAAACTTGCTGTTTCTCACCCCTATTTAAGGAAAAACATCAAAGGACTTATGACGTTCTATGACATCATCACTCCAATGAGATTGTCACAAGACGTTTTGGAATGGGGTGTTTTTTTTTAAACTGTTTTCAAACTTAACTTAAAATTTCAGTGTTTCCTAGTTGTGGACTATTGGTTAGTCCAGCCGATAAAGAAATTAATTGTCACAAACATCCCTAATATTACATAACAGACGACAGAAAACAAGACAGTTTTTTTTCTAATAGAGGTATAATAAAAGTTTTTTTTAATTATCCTACTTTTTATAAAAGAGAACATTTATTAAAGAGTATGTATTTAATTAAAAAACTCTGTTCATCTAAAGCAGGGGTCAACAACCTTTAAGACCCAAAGAGCCATAATTGGCCTATCTGGGGTTGAAAGGCTCGATAAATGCACGGCGTTTCGCTGGATACACCGGCTTCCGCGAGTGTGATGCTTATTTTGAGCGATGAAAAAATAACAAAATATAATTTTATTTGTATAATGCAAAATCACAATAAGCTTCCAATTTAGAACTACAAGTAAAAAAAAATCGAGAAGAAAAACGAAAGAAAAATAGAGTATCGCTATTTACCGTCAACTAACAGAGTTCTGTCATGTTCTCGTGACAAAGTGCCAAACTGGCCTCAGTCGTGTTTTTCTTTCTTTCATCTTCTCTTCTTTTGTTGTTTTGTTTGAAGCATTTGTTTAATTGTTGTTTTTTATTGTGTGGAAAGAATTTTTCTGAAAATATAGATATAGAGAAATGATATTATATATAGTTCTATATAAAATGTGTACAAAGGAGAAAGTATATAAAAGGGTTTTCTCAGTGGGGGATCTATGCATGAATTATTTTTAAAGACGCGGGGAAAAGGACACTGTACCTGTCGATGCACGTTTCCCAAGACTAAACGAGTCATATCGCTCCATGTTTGCTACTTTTGGTTTTTGGTTTTCTCCCGCAGAGTAAGAGCATCGCAGGAGCTCCTGAAGTCAAACGACGCCTCCCAGCACTCATTTATTAAAACGGAGTCGATGCCAAAAGTCTTAAACGTTAGAATCAAAGCAACAGCTGTGAACTCAGTCATGGTGTCATGTGCAGCCTTCATCTTACTGTCACTACTTTTTCATTTTAGGGTACGTGAGGTAAAGCGTCCGTCGATGTAGCTTGATTGTACAAAATTATTTTTCTACGTTATTAACAAAACAGAGCAGAGACTGATGCTGCTCCTGTCTGACCCCCTTGTGTATGGCACGTGTGTGTGTGTGTGTGTGTGTGTAGGAGCGGCAGTCGCTGTGTGAGTGTGATATCACATCTGCATCACTCAAGCGTAGGCGGGCCCGCGTCAGACAACAATAAACAAAAAGCAGAAAAAGGCCAACAGTAAAAACTCAGACTCCAGCATGAGCTCCTTCCTGCTGCTTAACCAATCACCTTCCTCCATATCATCACTGCTCCCTCCCTCCTCCTCTCTCCATCCTACGCCACCTTTGTTATTTAACACCGACCCCCCCAATCTGATAATCAGACAAATTCGACACCTGACTTCACTGTGTCGACACCGTTCCTGACTATTTCTGACCTCAGGTCAGCTCTGCTATTATCCTCACATTAAGGGTTCGTTCACCTGCCTGCAGATGATCTGTGAGCTCGTCGGTTGTAAATTAAACTCTAAGCACACTGAGGGTAACGGGGAGGCGTTCAGGGCCTGCAGTGCAGAGCTGCAACATGACAAAAAGGGATGGGGGCTCAGATCTCCTGAACAGGGAAGAAACAACACGGTGGGTTTGTGCTGTTTGTGATTCCTGCTCCGTCACTCTGGTGGAGACGACTGCAGCTCAGCAGCGCTCCCTGCTGATCCTCTGATGAAGATGTCAACAGTATGTAAACTGAGCTGATGTGCTGCTGTTTGAGCCCACGTGGTAGCGTACGTCCAGTATGGGAGAACTTAGTCACCGGTGCTGTCTTTGCTTGTGCTCTAGCTTTAGCCTGTTTGATTGTTTGTTTTCTATTTTATTACTGCCTAAAAGGGGAGGTGGGGGAAACACATGCCTGACTTCTCCTGTCAGAGGTTTTGTAAGCTCACTGGAAGGGAAACGTGCACAATGTAAATCATAAAACAACTGACTGGGGCTGTGCTGCAGGTGGATCAGTGCTGTGGACAGTAGCTGTGGAAAAGAGACTGGACAAAGACTCTCAGCCTTAAATACAGGACAGAGGATGATCCGATCATCTTTCAGCTAACAGTGTCGAGCAGAAGGACGACCGGCTGATGCGTCCGTACGAACCCTTTTGTACTCACTCCTGTGTATAAGGAGGCGGCGAGGGGTTGTGTAGTTAACCTCAGCACCACACAGCTACAGCAGAGGAGAGAACACAAACGAGTCCTTTCATTCGGCTCTGTTCTTTCTCCTTGTCTGTTTTATAAGCTAACACTAGAGGGCGCCATTGTGGCACATTCAGCGCTCACTCTGAGGTCACTGGACAGAGAAGAAAATACCAAACTGGGAGACGGATGGAGACGAAACATCTGGAAGATCAGAACTGTACATTTTTAAGTTTATTTTGGGCAACTGCAGGGTTTTGAGTCTAATTCTAGGCCGCTGTTTAGCCTACATGAAGTTAGAAATTCTTCAATACAGCTTGGACTCTCCACCATTTGACCCTTAGAACTGAAGAAGCTTCTCGGATGAGAGGTGAAACGTCTTCAAGTAACTCAAAGAAGTCCAGACGCTTTTCTTTCCAAGCTCCTTAGACTACGATGACCTGGATGACTGAGAACCTTCACAGACTTCTCCACACTTTAAATGCGCTCTAATGATGGGAACGTGTGGTAACATTTAGTCTTAACTGAAATAACACATTGCATCTATAAATGGGATTAAAATGTTTACCAAAGATTAACGTTTTTCATTCAGAACAAACAGCATATTTCAGGTTAGGGCTGCACAACTAGTTTGTCCAATATTAAAGTGACAGTTGTTTGTCACAATTATTCACAGATTGTTGTGGCAAAATGTGTTTTGATTGCACTGTCATGTCAGAATACTGCTTTCACCTTTACTTTGTGCTACACTCATGTTAATTAATCTTCATAAATTAATGTTTGCAAACACAAAGTATAAAGTTTTCCACTCTGCTATTTGTACCTGCACAATAGATGTGAATAAAACTCAAACCTATACGAGCTCCTTCTCCGTTTCCCTGCAACATTTTGTATAGATCTAACTTTTTGCCACATAAAGAACCTTCTGATGTGTTTACAGTAAATGTATTTGATAGTAGCTTATTTTGTAACTTTTAGTGGGCCTATGCAATGTTCCCTCTAAGCTGCGCACTGCTGGCACAGTCTCTGCGCACAGAAATTCTGCTTTGTGCACAAAAAAAGATCTAACCTGAATTGAAATTAAAATTAATACTTTAACAATTCTGTTTTGCAGTGTTGGTCAGTAAGTGACTGGTTGCTCCCATATGGGAACGATGCCACCTTATCCCATAGTCCAGCCAATAATGCGTATATGCGCAGCTAATCAACGTGGTTGACAGGCTATGACAGCGTCCTTATGTGACGCTTTTTTGTTTTTACATTTTCATGGTAAATGGGCTAAAGCAGTTAATTAAAAGTAGTCTAACATAAATGTAAATGCTGTAATTTGATTCTTTTAATAAACCATGAAACTTGGATGGATTCGATGCCGGCGTGACCACAGTGCACACGTCTGATGTCGCTCAGTGGTCCAAGGGATCGCTCAGGGAGTTTGTGTGTTCGCTCAGACACGTGAAAAATTAGAGGGAACACTGGAGTTGACCATGAATTCCTCTATGTGAAGCCATCTATCTGATAGCTGAAGCTTGGCTCAAATTGGGTCATGCAACAGGGCACTTATCCTAAGCACACCAGCAAGTCTACAAAAGTATGGAAAAAGAAAATCAATCAAGGTTTTTCCATTGCCCAGGGAAAGTCCAGATTTTGACCTGATTTAGATGCTGTGGTGGGACTTCAAGAAAAGTGTATATAAATGAATGTCCCAAAAACCCAGCAAATTGGGGCATTGTTGTAAAAATTATGCCAAATCATGGCAAATATTCTGTTGAGCTTAAATACAGAGTTTCCTGTGTCATGAAAGTTGCTCACTTTTTACCTGGTTCGAATTCAAAGTACACATCAAGTCAAGTTGGCTCAAAATGCTCTTGCTCCGCTTCTGTCAAGAGTGCATCAGTAGTCAGTTCTGTGTACTTGGTTTAGCCAAGTATTCTAAAATGCATTTTGTCTGAAACGAAATAGGACATTACTTATTTGCAAAAGCCCTCCAATGTTTTTGGACGTCTCCATTCCCGCTGGTTTAACAGAGAGCTCTCCCTATCAGTTGTCAGCTGACCAAGAGGCTGAGGCTCACCGGAGAGAACACCTGACTCGCACATCACTTTCAAAATCCCTGCTGACTTTTGCCACTTAGTGAAGCACAAATCTTCAAAAATGACACTTCTGTGAAAACAGAAAGGATTAGTGGATATGGATTAAAGGATACGGATATACACTCACACACATACCTCAGGGGCTACACAATAATGAGGCACATTTCCAGCAACAGCATTACGTTTTAAAATAGTAAATATACAGAGTGTAACTTTCTAAAAGTTTATATCCATTGAAATGTCATCTGTAATTAAGAGTATCCATAAACAGTAACAATTTCCAGAACACTTTCTAAAAAAATACATCTATTATTTTTATCTGTAGTAATGCCATTTTATTGCAAATACCTATTAAAACAAAACCGATATTAGAGTTGATGCAATCAAAAGTGACCTATTTCTTTTGATTCTTCTGTGTTGTTTTTCAGAAAAATAACTTTATTTACTATAACTACGTTGGACCGGAAACAAATATGACAGTAAATTAAACAGAAAGAACATGTGCTGTAAGGTCGCTGTAGCAGAAGTCATCTCCACTGAAGCCCCCTCACAGCAGAGGGCCAGTCATGCTGTTTATTAGAATTTGCTAGTTTTCAGTGAGAAAAAACATTTTCATCAAGTTTTAAATCCTTTCGTTGCTCTTTTCGCTGCGATTGTCATAAATTCGTCGTCCTCTTTTCAAGCCTTAGCTCGCTTTTATTTTGAAATATGAGTCTTGTGATCAGAGATGAATCTGTGCTGCATGATGTGCGTAACATCAGAGCGATAAAAGCCAGCTTTGCCTTTCAGTGATTCGCAGTAAGGACATAAATGACCTAAACTGAGACTGAAAAAAGTGCAGTCAGTTAAATGTTAGCTCACCTAACATGTAGCAGTGTTTACATGTAGCCATGTTTGACAGACTCCAGGGCTTTGATACCATAAGATGCCTCATATCCTCACAGACTCATGAGATCACACAGGTGGTCTGACCTGCTCGTGTCACACTGTGCTGTCTGTCTGTCTGTCCGTTGTTTTTCTCCTGCAGTGATGTTATGTAGCAGAAAAACAGTTGGATGCTGGAAAAGTGCAGAGCGATGGGTGACGTGTGGAGAACATCACAGTCTGTGTGTGTTCAACAGCTGTTAGAGCCACACTTTGTCCTTTCTGTGGTATAACTGCTGGATTTATTTTATTCCAACACTTAGAAACTGTCAGCAAAGCAAAACTTCATGATTGGATGATCCTGTGTCACGTCCACAGTGTCAAACATGCACAGAGACAGTAACACCCACAGAGAAACCCTCAGCTTGGTGTCCATTGCAAATCTGCACCTGTTGTCTTCTTTCTACTTTCTTTGTTGAACTCAGAAACTCGAGACTTGAGATGAAGAAAAATGTTAAATAATGGAATAAAAAAAAGATGATTATTAAAAAAAGTAAAGTAAAATTATATAAATAAATGAGGTGATGATATTTCTGTTTACTTTAGAAGTTATTATACACTGTATGCTGTGATTCTGATCTGGGAAACATTAAAGACATTCATAGCCAGACTGCTGACTTTGTGTTTTTATTCAGTCGCCTAACAGAAGTGCAGTAAGAAACGATTTACCCCATCCTGATTTCTTAGCTGTTTGCATATTTGACACACTTACGTGTTTCAGATCGTGAAGCAAATTTTTATGATAGATAAAGATGACCAGAGTCAGTGTAAAATAAAGCTTTTACATGTATTGCTGGGAGGTCGGCAGCTCCCTCCACTGCTTGGCCCTCTGTGAAAAACAACTGGGATCCAGCTTCCCTGTGATGCTGAATTATATAAGCGGAAGAAAATAAATAGATAGAAGGATGGATGATTGTATTTTGTGTACAATCGTTGAAGTGTAAAAAGGGTTGGCCCTCCGTGGTGCCCTAAGCAAAGTTTGATTTTTGGGGCCCTTTAATAGTGCCAATAATACTGATTAATGATCACCTACTATAAATGTATTTCATTTTCTAATGTTGATGTTGTTGTGAAAAATGTCATAAAAACAGATAACAAATTTGCAACTTTCATGAAAAATGTTTTCATTAATATTTTAAAAAACCAGCAAAACACCTCCCCCTGCTGGCCACACAGAGAAACAATAGATAAAACCTGAGAGCTGCACAGTTGCAGCAGTGTGGTTTACGTCATTCTGTTGTCAGCCTGTTTTACACATCGGTGGTTTCTTATTGACGTGTAAAAAGATCTGAAATCGTAGTAAATTCAGCTGCTATTGTGGGCTGGGGATGATTTACACTTAACATTTTAATAACTGGGTACTGAATGTCATAGGCCCAATGTTCCCTCTAATTTTTCACGTGTCTGAGCGAACACACAAACTCCCTGAGCGATCCCTTGGACCACTGAGCGACATCAGACGTGTGCACTGTGGTCACGCCGGCATCGAATCCATCCAAGTTTCATGGTTTATTAAAAGAATCAAATTACAGCATTTACATTTATGTTAGACTACTTTTAATTAACTGCTTTAGCCCATCCATGAAAATGTAAAAACAAAAAAGCGTCACATAAGGACGCTGTCATAGCCTGTCAACCACGTTGATTAGCTGCGCATATACGCATTATTGGCTGGACTATGGGATAAGGTGGCATCGTTCCCATATGGGAGCAGCCAGTCACTTACTGACCAACACTGCAAAACAGAATTGTTAAAGTATTAATTTTAATTTCAATTCAGGTTAGATCTTTTTTTGTGCACAAAGCAGAATTTCTGTGCGCAGAGACTGTGCCAGCAGTGCGCAGCTTAGAGGGAACATTGCATAGGCCCACTAAAAGTTACAAAATAAGCTACTATCAAATACATTTACTGTAAACACATCAGAAGGTTCTTTATGTGGCAAAAAGTTAGATCTATACAAAATGTTGCAGGGAAACAGAGAAGGAGCCTCGTATAGGTTTGAGTTTTATTCACATCTATTGTGCAGGTACAAATAGCAGAGTGGAAAACTTTATACTTTGTGTTTGCAAACATTAATTTATGAAGATTAATTAACATGAGTGTAGCACAAAGTAAAGGTGAAAGCAGTATTCTGACATGACAGTGCAATCAAAACACATTTTGCCACAACAATCTGTGAATAATTGTGACAAACAACTGTCACTTTAATATTGGACAGACTAGTTGTGCAGCCCTAACCTGAAATCTGCTGTTTGTTCTGAATGAAAAACGTTAGTCTTTGGTAAACATTTTAATCGCATTTATAGATGCAATATGTTATTTCAGTTAAGACTAAATGTTACCACACGTTCCCATCATTAGAGCGCATTTAAAGTGTGGAGAAGTCTGTGAAGGTTCTCAGTCATCCAGGTCATCGTAGTCTAAGGAGCTTGGAAAGAAAAGCGTCTGGACTTCTTTGAGTTACTTGAAGACGTTTCACCTCTCATCCGAGAAGCTTCTTCAGTTCTAAGGGTCAAATGGTGGAGAGTCCAAGCTGTATTGAAGAATTTCTAACTTCATGTAGGCTAAACAGCGGCCTAGAATTAGACTCAAAACCCTGCAGTGCCCAAAATAAAGGGGGCATTAATGTGCCAGATTCTACAGAACACCAGAAATAACTGCTAAGATGGGTCCAACACATCTGAGTTCATGCTGGAGGAACTGTGGGACACACTCTGCCAACCACACTCATATATTGTGGCTCTGCCCTAAACTCTGTGTATTCTGGAGGCAGATATTTGATGCTCTCAAAGACATTTTCCAAGGTAAATATTCCACTAAGTCCTACAGCAGCAGTGTTGGGAAGGATTGCAGAACATATTGACTGCAAAGCCAAAAGTTACCTGCTAAATATATGACTCACTGCAGCCCTAAAATGCATAACTATCAGATGGTTAAAACCAGATATAATCTATGGATCCATGTCTGTCTGATGGAACAAATTACATACTCAGACTACAGAAACAAGTCTTTGAGAAACGGTGGGGACCCATGTTACCTTTCCTATTACAATGAAGAACACCACCTAATTTTGTGAGCTCTCTCTCTCTCCACACACACACACACACACACACACACACACACACACACACACACACACACACACACACACACACACACACACACACACACACAGATAGGAAGAGGGGAAATGGATATAAATGCAGACAATCACAAGGGGAAGACAAAAGTCAACCGAAGACACAAAAGATGACCATCAAAATAAAGACAGGGGAAAATCCAATGTATAACTACTAACCATGAACACAAGAAACTCACACTGAACAGGAAAACATGACTTTGGCTAGTGTTAGAATTAAAACCTTGACAAACGTGCATATAAAAGAAAATAACAAAAGACAGATTTAAGGAATGTGAAGCATTTTATTAAGAATTCAAGGTAAATAACGGCATTGCATGCGCTAAACTTTGTGGAAATGAAGTTCGCGTTTTCCTGTAAAACAAAAGTGAATATTACCACTTCTAGAGAACATAGGCACACAGACACACCCACAGACAAGCCAAGTCACGCACAGGTAAGCTGTGTCATGGGGAAGGGGGGAGGGGACACTAGAAGCATATAAAGCATTTTGTGGTGTGAGCCCTTTGTATTATCATTCATCAGTTCCCCTGTAGCAGGTGGAAAAACCCCAGCAACACTGTACTATAAGAGGATATTGCAGGTAGATTTTTATACAACATTTCCACTCAAATTAAAACATTTCACTTTAAAGATTTAAGAAGGAAATTTATAAATGTACTTTATGCTTTGTTTTTTTTTTTTCCCAGAACAGTGATGGCAGCTGTGAACTTATCCAGAAGCAAAGGAGTGAGTGGTGTCACAACTACCAGGGGTTTATTCATCATTTTCACCCTGTTGGTTCTGGTCAACCTTTCAAGTTCACTGATAAAGAAGGACCAACTGGTAAAATGATTGTGATATATTTATATCTATATTTTTTGATCTGCCAGTTGTAGTTTTATTTTGTTACACTGTTTGCCTTCACATGTTTCACATGGCTGCTTGTGGACATTCTCTATCTGGATTTGCAGGAAGAACTGAAAGAAAACATTCAGAAGTTACAACAAGCAGCAGTGACAAGGAAGGTGAGTCTGTCTCTGTCCATGTTGTGCTCATGAATGAGTAATGTGGAATGTCTATAACTGCTAATATAAATATTTATAAATCTATTAAACAACCAAAGCCCCCCCCCCCCTCCAAAAGAATATAAAAGTAGCTTTTACACATTTGTCTCGTTTCATTTTCTCCTCCAGGATAATCTCAAGTTAGACAGATTCTATATTCCACTATTCTATGATGATTTTATGCACTTAATGGACATTTTGTCTGAAACTCTAAATACAACAATGGGAGATTTTCCACCAGTGTTGGATTTAATGAATGACCTGAAAACATTCCTGAAAGCCACCAAGAAGTACATAGACAAATACCTTGAGACGACAGCTGGAGAAATCAAGGACTATGAAGAGAAACTAAATGTTGTGATGGAGCGGCTAACACGCCTAGAGAAACATAAAGATGAATTGTAACACATTAGTCTACATCCGTCTCTTATATTGTGTGTATTCTGTTTGTAAATCTTCTCCTTTGTACCGTGCAGTTTCAGTTTCAGTTTTTGCCTTGAGAGTGGCCTTGATATTTTAAATTGCTGAATAAAGCTAACTGTAAACTTGTGTTTGACCTGAAAAAATAACTTGTCAAGTTTTTTTTTTTATCATTATCTTCATTATAAAAAAATTGTAATGCAAGTACAAACCAATGATGATGGGGATTTTGTGTGTGAAGTAGTTGATAGTTATTATTGATTTATATAAAATACTTTAATGTGAATAAAAATTGTTAATAAAACTGTTATCCTTTGCTTTTAGTTTTGCCTTTTTTCCCAGAAGGAAGTACGGCATCTGTGGCTGATTGGTGTCCATTGTTTACTGACTCACCAAATTTAAATTCTATAACCCACAAAGGAGAGAATATCAATCAGCTGTTTAGCTGCTTTTGACTAACTCGTTAATATACTCTATGTTTTATATATCCTTTCCTTCATTGCCATTCTGAAATAAAAGGGCCAGTCTATGTTTTCTAGTTATACTTCAATGAGGTGATGAGGATAATGAACTATCTGGTCAAGTTCCCTTTAATGCTACCAGACTAAAAGCACAGGAATATTGTAGACTAAATCTATGATTTTTATGAAAACATCAACCACCAAAGATGTACATTTCTTTGTCAAGTACAATTAGTAAAATGAACTATTTTAAAGGATATCTGAAGAATCATTGTCTGTGAATAAAGACATTAAAGTTGTAATAAATACCTATTTTTACAAACTGTGAAATTCACAAGAAAAGACGACAGCTGTGGCTGACTGCTGAAATTGGCAGTGTGCAAACCTACAACACATGCAATCATTATCAAATGATAACATGTGAGAAACACAGAAACAAATAGATGCAAAAACTTCTACTTCTTATACTTTTGTTTTCAGTGTTTGCATCACATTATGAACACTAGTATCTCCATAGATAGTTACCAGGTTATAAATATATTACTTCATGCTAATGTTGCAATATATGTAGTGTCTATTTTAGTGTTAAGATATACTATTGATCATATGATAAAGATTATTTGAATATTAAATGAATAACTGAAAACTGGAATTATTGGAAAAGTGGAATATGAACTGGTCTCATTTTTAACAAAAGTGATGCTGGCTCTAACACTGGATTACATTTGCTTTCTGTTCATTTGTATAGTCTTTTACAATGTGTAAAAAAACATTTCTTTGTCTTTATAAGCAGCCCATGTGTTAAGCAAACCCAGTCTCAGGGCAGTTTGTAAAATAATCCCAGGAAAACCATCTAGCTTTTTCTGTTCATGTACACAAACGGTACAGTGAGTAACATGCCTAAACTCCTCCCTTCTCTGCCACATGCTTCTGTCGTGGCTGCTGTTAATATATGGAATATTCTTCAATTGTTTAACAGTCTGATGGGACTTAATTTCCATAAAGTGGATCATATTACATCTGTGAAATGAAAGAGAAAGCACAGCTCACTTAAAGTATTTGTAGTGTTTGAGTCCCTTGTATTTTCAGTCTACACCTGTACCGTGCAGCCGCTCTTTCTCCTTTCAGCAGGCAGGTAAGATCAGCAAAACTGCATCATAAGATGGTTTATAGTTAATACTTTTTATACAATATATTAATAACATAAAACAGGAAACATAGATTAAATTCTTCATTCATCATTTCATTTATTTCCTGTCATTTTCTCTCCAGAAGATTTTATTTCACCAGTGATGGCAGCAGCAGGCGTCTCCAAAAGCAGAGGACTGACTGGTGTCAGAAACACCAAAGCTGTAATCATCTTCTTGCTGCTGTCCCTGGTTTATGAGGCAAATTCACAGACAACTGAGGAATATTTGAATGTAAAATTAAAGTCACTATAAGTTACTATAACTTTTTCCTTCACTTACAGTTGTTAATATGTAGTTCTTAGGCAACTGATGCATCCTGTTTTTTCAAATTTCAGAAAATCAAGGCCGGCTTAGGAGAAGCTGATGAAAAACTACAGTTTCTTCAGTCTATCCAGGAACTAATAAAGACATCATCATTTTCAGAGGATTTTCCACCACTGATGGATTTCACAAATAACTTGATTCACTTCATTGAGAAATCCAAGATGCTGTTAGAAAGAAAGGAAAAAGAATTTGAAAGAAATGAAGGACAACCTAAAACTCAACGGAAGCAGAACTTTTAGCTATGCTTTAGACTTTGGTATCATTGTTTTTCATTGTTGTTACTATTTTGATTAAAGAGCTGGATGGGACATGTATTTGTTTTGCTTTTACCATTCCTGAACTGTGATTTGTTTTCTTTGCTGAAACTCTGCAACATTATGTTTTGTCCACTTACGTTGTTTTTTAAACACAGAGGTGCTGTCAGCAATACTGGCATGACATGTTGACAGTAAAAGACAAATATCATTCCCATGTTTTGCAAATAGATTTTGCATTTTTGTCTTTGTATTGGATTCTAGTGATGTCTTTGCCCCAGACATGGAGGCCACTGTATAGGCATGCATCTGCCTCTACTCTTGCACCATTGAAAATTGTTGTGTTGATCATTCAAGTTTATAGAACTCACTTCATATCTTTTGTTAGTTTTTATGGATCTTCAGCATGGTAATGGGGGCTAGCCCCAAATACTTTTTCTAGTTTGAATAAATAATATCATACTAATTGCTCTTTTTGCTTGTGTACTTTTTTTAAATTTTATGATATATATATATATATATATATGTAATATATATATATATATATATATATATATATATATATATATATATATATATTACATATTACGCTATGACTGGGAAATTGTTCTTATGTGTATTAGTTATACAAGTGTCTGTATTGGTAATGTACCATCCATGAACCAATAAATTCCTGCATACAAAGATGTTTTTGTTTCAAGTGGTGATGTAATTTGATAAAGGTCTTCAGTGTGCATCAAATCACAATATTAACCTGTCTGGACCAGATATCATCATCATATTTGTTCATCAGTTTTATTTTGCAAGCTGGAGATGCCGCTCCAGCAAGCCAGAGAATCCCCCCCCCACCCCCCCTTTGTGGCAAGCAGCAGGTGCACCTCGCAAATGGAGGGCGCCTTTACTCCCCGCAAATGGGCAATAGAAAACCGATCACTGCCCATGCAATCCCCAAAATGAGCTGGCATGATGTCAGGGCAGCATGGGTGGCAGCAACTTTTTTTTGCCGATGCCATGATGCCGCCCCCACCACGATGCCGCAATGGGCAACCGCCCATGTTGTGATGTCAACCTAAAAGCTCACTAGAGCATGGAGTAGAAAAAATTGTTCAGAATATGCAGAGACAAGAGCTCTCCTCCTCCACATTTACAGTATCACCAGCGGCGTGCAGCAGGCATCCTGCTGAACTGATCTGAGCCAGAGATCAAGGCAGAGAAGGTAGGGGATGGAAAGATTGAGGCAGAGAAAGAGAGAAGAGAACAGAGAAGAAAAAAGAAAAAAAAGAAAAAAGAAAAAGAATTTTTTTTTATTATAATATGTTATTTCACAACAATAACTGATGGGTTTCTATTCTTATAAACAGGACTAGACAAACACTACTTTGTTGAAAACAAAAGTGAAAGGGCTGCTCACATTCACGAGATGCAAATGAGTTAAGAGACACTGTATATAAAGCATCTGTGGCATGTCATCTCATTTTAGTTTCATTCTCCACCTGTACGGTACAGCAGCTCTTCTTACATTCGCACAGCAGGTAAGAGGAGTAATCATGCACAATAATATGATTTATATTGATTTATATTTACGGAATAAGTTTATGAACATATATATATATATATATATATATATATATATATATATATATATATATATATATATATATATATATATATATATATTCATAAACTTATTAACTCTAAAGCTTGTTCCACTTCTAAGAGCAATGGCAGCAGCAGCCTTTTCCAGAACCAGGGGGCCAGCTATAGCCAACAAAGGCTTATTACTCATCTTCTCTCTGCTGTGCCTTGTTTCAGTCGCAAGTTCCCTCTATACCCAAGGCCAGGTGATGAATTGACTTTTGCTGAATTCCCTTCTATGACTCAACAATTACACACTTATGTGTATATGTACAGTCTAAGTCATCACAATTAGCTGCTTAATTTTTTTCTTTATTTGCAATGGGTCACACAGATGATGCTTGAGCAGATGAAGAGAGTCATAAAAGAAGCAGACAGATGGAAGGTGGGTCAGTCAGTCTCCAAGTTTTAAAATCTGCTGTGTGTAGGCAGAAAAGAAGGGTTAAAAAATACCTTAACAAATCCATTTTACTTTACACTATCTACAGTGATATATGGCAAGTCTTGCAAGTATAGCAAATGCATTACATACAGTGTAGAATAATATGGTAAATTTAAATGTTCTTATTGTTTTCTGTTAGGCAGAAGACAAATATAGAAAGGAAACAATCACAAAACTATTTGATCTTTCAAGTTCACTGACCCACAAGGATCAACTGGTAAATTAATATTTAATAATTGCTGTGGTTTTCATTGTGTTCTTCAGCAGCTGTCACACTCACCGTGCTCTCCTTTTTTCTGGAAAATATTCAGGAACTATTCCAGGAAACCCTACGCAGCGCTGTAAAACAAGAGGAAACGCTGAAGGTGGGTCTGTCAGTTACTCACATGTTGACTGAGAAAGTCTTTAATTCATAAAACTAATAACTCAAAACCTACAGTAACATCAGCATACCTTCAGGCATCTGATACACTGCAAATGGACAACAAATGGAATGAAATGTTATATCATTTGTGCTAAAATGTTTATTTTTCTCATTCAGGCAGGATACAAGTACAAAATGGCAGCAACAGTATTGGATGAACTGTTTGAGAAATACATCCGTCAGTGGGAACTGGATATGTTATCAGCTGATTATCCACCAGTGAAGGAAGTAATTAAGGTTGGTTTGCACTTTATGAAGAACTTCCGAACTTACATGGACAAGAAGATGACTTTGCTACAAGAATAGAGAACAGGAAAGAAACTGGGTGTGATGGGGAGCTTCATAAAACTGTAGAAGAAACAACAAATTGAACTGCTTACATTTCTGTCTCTATGTCTGTTCTAGTTTGCGCATATTTAGTTTTTATGAAAACCATTTTTTGTTGTTTCTAAATCATAAAAAAAATACATACATTTCCTTCAAGTTATACATATGTGACTTCTTT